TATTTTTTAAGATTAAGACATCTGAATGTGAATACACATCTGAATATCAAAATATGTATTAAGATTAAGACATCCGAATCTGAATATACATCTGAATATATTAAGATGTGTATTAAGATCTGAATACTAAAAATTAAGACTGTTTGATTTTTAACATCTGAATGCATAAAATTTATTTTTATTTAAAAAATAATAAACAAAAAATTCAAATGAAATACTAACTAATTCAATATTCTATTAATAAAATATATAATATTTAAAAATATAATAGTTGTTGATGGTGATAGCTAACGGGTGAATGCCGACTAGAGGCGGTGGTTGGTGGTAGTGTTGGTTGATGATGGTGGTTCATGCTAGTAGCTAGTAGTGATTGGTAGTGATGACGATTATGATTGAGTATGGTGGTGGAGGGTGGTGATAGTTAATAATAGCGGATGGTGGATTGTGATTGAGAAAGGTGGTGGTAGGTTATAATGATGGGCGGTGCCGACTGTGGTTGTTAATGGTGATGGAATGGTTGGTTGTGGTAGTTGAGGTGGGTAAGAGTTGACCGTGGGTGAGAATAATGGTAGTTGGAGTGGTGGGGATGGTGGATGATGATGGTCGATAATGGTGGCGACTATGATTGAGGATGATGGCGATGCTACTGGTTGACTATGGTGGCGGTGGTGGTGGTTGACTATGGTGGTGGTTGATTGTGGTGGTGGTGGTGGTGGTTGACTATAGTGATGGTGGCAGCATGATGGTAGTTGATAATGGTAGGCAGTGACGGCAGTTAATAATGAATATGTGATAGCATCTTAATGAAATTAAGTTTTTGTTACAGATCTTAATCATACAGACCTATTCAGACTCATTAAGTGGCTGTGAAGTAAAAAAAACAAACACACTTCATAATTAAGATCTGAATAATTAAGATTCAAATTTTAAAAACAAACTCATTTAGTATCTTAAATTTAAACGATTAAGATTCAGATTTCTATTAAGTGCAAACAAATGAGACATTAACCTAGTTATCATGTTGGATACAGATACATGGCAAACTAAGGAACAGGAAAGTTAAGTGGAAATAAATTGATTTCGATTAGACGAGTTTATTTCGTTTTCCTAGATTCATGTAGCATAACTGACTCAAAATTGGCCTAGGATATGAATGCATTTATTTACTAAAATAAATATATATTCTTTGAGCTGACGTTTGGTCGATGACATACGTATAAAGAAATAATCTTCACATAAAACCTAGTGCCATTAAAGCATTGTCCGTTCTTCCCGTTTATGTTTTTATTCGGTGCTTGATATCTACTTTTAGGACCGGTCAAATTGAATTCGCGCCAAAAACTTTTACTTTAGAAATAAATATTTAACAAAATTAAATTTATACTGGCGCTAAAATTCAAGACTTTTAATTAAGAATTAAGTATTTATTTTTCCACCACAATCTTTGGTGATTTGTTCTTCGCTTATACTTGCATAAATTACACAAAGATTTATATATTATTTTACAAGGAATATTACGTAAAATAAGAATACAAGAATTGATTTTAAGTCACTTTCTCATAAAGCAAAGATCTGGTTCCAGTAATTTAGCATAAATCAGAAGAATGATATCGGCTGTTTGCAGATATCATTCTTGTAATTATATTCTTCTAGCATGAATTGGCTGTTTGAGTTCTTTTGTAGTTGTAAATCGATAATCCCCTTGAAGAATATATGCAGCTAATCGTAAGAACACAATTAATGTTGCAAACAATATTATATAAGGGTAATGTGTATTTATCAGTGCTTTTTAAAATTAAAAAATTTGTTTCCGATAGACCCTCGGTTCAAGAATATATACAAAAAAAAAAAGTTGAAAAGGTTTAATACCAGAAAAGAGTGAAGTCTTCATACTACATAAGACTAGTAATTCTACGAAATTGAAGGTGGAAGAAAGTATGTTAAACGATAAAAGACGAAATTGTAGTTATGATAAAACTATGACGAGAAACCATAGTTGCAATGACTACTTTCCATGGGATAAAAAACACTAGCTAACCAACGAATAACACTCTAAACATGCATAAATATTTTTCTTATACACTTAATGAGGTAATCAAAGAACAAAAGGCCATTTTGAGAAGCAGAATAGTGAGAAATTTCTATTTTATTCGGTAACAAGTCATGCAATTCTTTCGACAAATACTAAAACGGTTTTCTTGTTTGAGTCAAACGTTATTAAATATTTTTTTAAACAAATCAATCAATAAAAATGAAATGGTAAATCCTAGTTAAAGATAATTAACTCTAGATCCGAGATGAGTAGGAAAAATAGAAAAATATAGTCGAATATAAATATTGACGGCGATTATGACAAGATTTAATGCATAAAGAAAGATGCATTAAATTACAAAAATATGAATAAAAGAAAAAGTTCACCCCATCTTCAGTGAGACGGATCTTTTTTCTCTTCATAAAGATGAATGATAGACAAATACAAGAACCTCATGACCCTATTTGGATCTGATGAAGGTATTGGATCATATCCTCTCATTTCTTTGGAGATGTGTATTTACACATTTTCTAGAAAGAGGGAGAGGGAGAGAGAGAGCCCTCCCCTCCCGGGGAAGTCCTCCCCTCCCCTTTATGAGGGGGGCGGATATCCATAGAAAATCCTCCAAAAAGGCACAATTAGAGGGAATATTCGGTAGAATATCCCTTTTGAAGATCCCAAAGCAGACTAGTTGTTTTATCACAACCATACCGACCTCGGCCTGTCCAACCTCAACTTTATTGATGACGGTCTGACTTAGACCCTATTAATGATGGTCTGACCTTAGCATGTCCGACCTCGGCATGCCCGACCTTGGCTACTGATGACGGTCCGATCTTAGCATGTCTGACCTCGGCATATCCGACCTTGGCTACTGATGACGGTCCGACCTTAGCATGTCCGACCTTGGTTTGTCTAACCACGACCTTATGTCTCCACATGCCGAATTTCTCTGATACAATTTTAACCCATACAGTTAGTCCCTCCGCTTATTGAGGTCGTCCCTTGGCCGAGCTCGATGAGCGGACTTCATTAATCGTAGTTTGAGAAATTCGAATGGGGAGGTCGACTAGTGTGGATCGCAGCTGAGGGTTGATTCGGTCGAGGCCGAAAGTTGATTCGGACGAGGCCAAAAGTTGATTCGGACAAGGCCGAATGTTATTTCGGTCGAGGTCGAAAGTTGATTCGAACGAAGCCGACTGTTGTTTCGGACGAGGTCGAAAGTTGATTCAGATGAGGCCGACTGTTATTTCGATCGAGGCTGGATTTTTTTTGGTGATGGCCCTTGGTCGTTGGGGTCGACCTTCTCTTTTTGGCGATGACCCTTGGCCATAAGGGTTGATTCCCTCTTTCTTGGCGACAACTCTTGGATGTAAGGTCGATTCAGACGAGGCCGAATGTTATTTCGGTCGAGGCCGAATTCTTTTTAGTGATGGCCCTTGGCCGTTGGGGTTGACCTCCTCTTTTTGGCGATGGCCCTTGGCTATAAGGGTCGACCCCCTATTTCTTGGCGATGGCTCTTGGACGTAAGGTCGATTCGGACGAGGCCAAATGTTATTTCGGTCGAGGCCGAATTCTTTTTGGTGATGGCCTTGGCCGTTAGGGTCGACCTCCTCTTTTTGGCGATGGCACTTGGCCATAAGGGTCGACCCCCTCTTTTTTGGCGATGGCTCTTGGCCATACGGTCGATTCAGACGAGGCCGAATGTTATTTCGGTCGAGGTCGAATTCTTTTTGGTGATGGCCCTTGGCCGTTGGGGTCGACCTCCTCTTTTTGGCGATGACCCTTGGCCATAAGGGTCGACCCCCTCTTTCTTAGCAACGGCTCTTGGCCGTAAGGTCGATTCGGACGAGGCCGAATGTTGATTCGGACGAATTATCAAAATGTTAACCCGTCGTCATTCGATCGAGGTCGAACTCTTCTTCTTTGGCGAAGGCCCTTGGCCTTAAAGGGTGTTATTTTGACTTATCGAAATATTAATCCGTCGTCATTCGATCGAGGTCGAACTTGTCGATCTTTGATGGCGAAGGCCTTAGCCTTAAGTTCTAGTTTGAACGTGGTCGAACTTGTCAATCTTTGATTGCAAAGGCCTTAGCCTTAAGTTCTAGTTCGAACGAGGTCGAACTTGTCAATCTTTGATGGCGAGGGACTTAGCCTTAAGTTCTAGTTCGAACGAGGTCGAACTTGTCAATCTTTAATGGCGAAGGCTTTAGCCTTAAGTCCCAGTTCGAACGAGGTCGAACTTGTCAATCTTTGATGGCGAGGGCCTTAGCCTTAAATCCTAGTTCAAACGAGGTTGAACTTGTCAATCNCCCAGTTCGAACGAGGTCGAACTTGTCGATCTTTGATAACGAAGGCCTTAGCCTTAAGTTGTAGTTCGAACGAGGTCGAACTTGTCAATCTTTGGTGGCGAAGGCCTTAGCCTTAAGTCCCAGTTCGAACGAGGTCGAACTTGTCAATCTTTGATGGCGAGGGCCTTAGCCTTAAATCCTAGTTCAAACGAGGTTGAACTTGTCAATCTTTGATGGCGAGGGCCTTAGCCTTAAGTTGTAGTTCGAACGAGGTCGAACTTGTCAATCTTTGGTGGCGAAGGCCTTAGCCTTAAGTCCCAGTTCAAACGAGGTCGAACTTGTCGACCTTTGATGGCGAAGGCCTTAGCCTTAAGTCCCAGTTCGAACGAGGTCGAACTTATCGACCTTTGATGGCGAAGGCCTTAGCCTTAAGTCCCAGTTCGAACGAGGCCGAATTTGTCGACCTTTGATGGCGAAGTTGAACGAGGTCGAACTTGTCGACCTTTGATGGCGAAGGACTTAGCCTTAAGTCCCAGTTTGAACGAGGTCGAACTTGTTAATCTTTGATGGCGAAGGCCTTACCCTTAAGTTCTAGTTTGCTTAATTTTCTTTGTATTGGAGAATATGACGCATTTCCTTGGTGATTGCTCCTGCTTCTATTCCACTTGGAGAAATAGTTAGTTAAAACAAAATAAAAGCATTCATTACCTCAGTTTGATCACGTTCCCTTCTCCGGTTATACTCTCTGTGGCCGCTACTTTAGTAAAGTTTTATGTCTACAATTGGGTTTGTTGTCGTAGAGGCTATGAGGATATGTTGATAGTTCCGGAAATTATTGTTCCTAAAAACTGAACCAAGAACCTTGATCGAGGTGGGATCTTCATGTAATGGCCGAGTTTGAAGTTGGATATCTTAGTGAAAGACGAATGGGAACCGTATATGGTGCCCAATACAGCATTTGATGTAGGGATGCTGGATTTGACACATCCACATACCGCGAATTGGTTTAAGCAGATTCATTTTTCAAGTATCACAGAAGTGAAGAGTTTCTCTTGCGATGGATGGAATTTTCCGCTTTCACCACCGTGTTCCGGACACATGAATTAGGTTTATCGCTTCATTCCCTGGAATCAAATTCCATGATTTTTTCTTCTTTCCCCTCTCAATGCTGAAAGATTTGACGAGTTCTTCCATTTCTGAACATATTCATTCAGGGAAACAAGCCATCTTGCAACAGCCAGTTCTACTCCAATAATAGAACACTGTCACATTTCGCACGCCTTGCAAAGATCTTGTTGAATTACACAGAAAGGCTGTCAGAAAGGGCTAACAATTTGTCGACATCTCTTCCTTCACTATCCAGAAGATGAACATGTACATAGCTTAACACAGGAGCAGTTCCTAGTTGGTACAGAGATACTTGTGGTACCTGTGTTAGACACAGGCAAAGAAAATGTTAAGGTCTATTTCCCGATAGGAGAAAGCTCTTCATGCAAGCATATTTGGGCAGGGAAACTGTATTCAACACAAGGTTCCGAAGCTTGGGTGTATGTGGAAGCACCAATAGGATATCCTGCCATTTTTGTTAAAGTTGGTTCTCCTGTTGGAGAAACCTTCCTGGAAAAACTTAGCAAATGCAATGCCTTACAATTCAACAGCCTAGAGATAGATGATGCAATTGGTTTTAGGGCACATAACCATGAAAGTAGCATTTAACATTCTTTCTATTCCATAAGTACATGGATGTTGGTGATAATACACGTGTAAAGTAGTAAAGAATTTATTTAGTAGAACCATTTGACTTTATACCAAAGACTATCATCGCATTAAAATTTCAAAACAATAATCTTATATATGTGATATATATGCCATTTATTAGTCAGAACTTCTGAATGGATACAACCACGTGCCTAGTACCCAACGAAAGAAACTAGATTACCCTTGTCTGCGCGCATGAGCAAAATTTTTCTAACAATTGGTGAACTGTTAGCAAAATTGTAAAAATGCTCAAGTAGGTGCTGTTAGGAGGAGAATGTTGACATGCTTCAAAACTGTGATATACCAAAACCACTTTCTTCAAGCTTAATTATCAGTTATTGATTTTGGCTAAGCGGAATGCATGAACCAGTAAGTACAGTTTGATTATTTCAAAAGGTTGCTATATGTAGTTACAATTATTCCATATGTCACATGCTGCGTGTTGGAACTATGAGAGGAAAAAATTGACTTAAGTACTTGCCTTGAGAGAGTTAACACCCAAACTTGACTCTCTTAACCATCTAAGTCTTCTGAACAGAGTGTTCCAACCAAAGATAGCAAAAAAGTGAGCAAATAATCGGAGCTTCTAACTTTCAGTTACAATCAAAGAATATATTCATGGATGCAAAACCTTATTTTGTTGTCAGCTGCTTAGGACACAATTACTGATAAATATATTTGTTTAACCAAAAAAGGGATTTTAGTCAAAGCTAGAATTTAGAAGAACTCGAGTTACTGATAATCAAAAAAATGTATAAAAGGAACTAAGTTATGTAGCAGAAGAATCTTTCAAGAATAAAGCGAGTAAACAAAGATATATTTCAATGATTTTTTTGTGTCCTCAACTGATCAGATGTTTCCACTTTTATAGGTGTCCTAGAGATATGCGTTTTGCCCAAATCATACTGAGGCTATTATGAGTAATTAAAGACATTGAATGCTACGTTACATAATCATTACATTTAATTCGAATTCCCTAACGTATTTCATATTTAATGTCTGTTATATGTTGTATCTGCGCTCTTTTTACTGTCAGATTTATTTTTTTGGGCTCCTGGATATAGACGACTTCAACAGGTACGAGCGCTGGATTATTTGAATATCTACCTGTGCATTCTCTTCTATTATTAGCTCGTGCATGTTGTAATCCGTCCCTGCTGTTGCTCGTGCCTCTTAACCAGCTGTCATCCTTTGATCATTTAATCAGTCTACGTGTCATGACACGCTTTCTTAAATATAATTTTTCCCAATACAGATAGTCCATTCACTTTCCATTTATTCATCCGTTGAATATTTGGGAAGTAGATTTCATTAAAAGAAAATTTTTGTCACCATAAATGATATGACAAAACTGATGCTTCAATTGCCGCCTATGTATACATGTTGTTTTCTCATTATTTTTGCATCTTTGCAGCCCTTTTCAAGACTTTTCCTATGGCTCCACTATTCTTGAAGTGTCAGTTATCATTATTATGGTTCTTCCATCATCGTACTTTTTCCTTTTGTCGGTTGTTCCCCAATATAAATATAATTTTTTTCTTTGTCTTCTATCAAATAAAACTTATTGAACATCCCTATTTACTTCTTCCTTACTTCGATCTTGATCTTCTTCATCATGACTTTACCAAACCCTAACCCTAGGAGAACCCCCATTTTAGATAGCTTCCCCAATGCTCCTGTTAGGCATAGAAGAGGGGGTAGACTCCGTAGCTTGGGGTCTACTCGTGGTGGTAGCACATCCGCACCTTCTCCTAGTTCTGGTCCCTCTTCCAGAACTAGAGGTTCTCTTTCTCAGAGGGCTTCTTCTAGGAATAAAGAACCCACTGAACCCTTGCGTGAGTCTCTAGTGGATGAGATAGTCCCTACTGAACTATCCTTTCATCATGATAGGGAATCTTTAAGGAACCAAGTAAATACTTTAGATCGTGCCGATATGTTCCCTACTCGGATTACAGAAATCTTAGCTTCTATAGTTCGTAAGGATTGTCACTAGAATAATGATTTTCCAATTATCATTCCTAATCCAAATCAGGGGATCACTTCCTACATGATTGGATTTTCTTTTGTTAACACATACCCTTTCACCCTAGGGTTTGTCACACCTCCTTTTGGCTATTACTACACTCGGAAAGGATATAATAAATAGAGTTTTTTCAATTTAAGTGACAATCGAAACGGGATTAATTATTAAAAATCAAAGTCACCACTTGGGATAATTTATGGTGTCCCAAGTCACCGGTTTAAAATCCTGAATCGAGGAAAGAATGACTCTATTATTATAGTCTGCGAATCAGAAATCCGGGTAAGGAATTCTGTTAACCCGGGAGAAGGTGTTAGGCACTCCCGAATTCCGTGGTTCTAGCACGGTCGCTTTGATCCTACTTGGCTTGTTAAATTATTTAATTACTGATTTTTAAACATATGTGCTTTTGCTTCTTTTACCGCTTTTAGTTAAGAAAATTATCTTGAAACGAGTTACGCGTACGTATACCCGCTTGTTTGGCGTGTCAAAAATTATGTCACGCGAATGTGTCCACAATTAATAACACTAAATTATTTTTAAGAAAGTTTGGGCTGAAGTTGCGCGAACGCATACTTCAGTTTTTATTTTTATAAGTGTAATTGTGTTACGCGGACGTATACATAATCACACTAGTAATTTTTAACGGCCCTAAAAGATATTCTACGAAATATTTTATTTTACCTAACCTACAAAATTACTAAAAGGCCATATAATTCTAATGAACTTACGAAACAAAATGATTAAAGGATGATAACCTATTTTATTATAACGAGAAGGTTGAGCGGAGTTGCGCGAACGCATATTCCAAATTAGTTTTAGAATCGTAATCATGTCACGCGAACGTGTACACAATCACAATTGTAATTTAGAATTTGAGAGTGAGGCAACCAAAGAAACTAAATAAGAGTAGTCAATTTCATTATATCATATAGCTTGGCAACAGATGTAGCGATCATTCTGAAGTTTTGGAGCTTTTTCCAAATTATGTTAAATTAATAGTAAATAATAAAAGATTCACGTCTCAGCTATTCACGGAACTATATTTCCTATAAAATTAAACTACTAAAGATGACTAAATTATTTTAAGCAAATTAACTAAGAGAAAAAAACATGTTATGGCTGGAACTTTAAACTAACAGACATGACAAAACTTTATTTTTACAAGGAAAACTATATAGTGATCCATCAAACAAACACGGAACCAACTTTCCAGAATTTTAAATTGGATTCAATCACAATGGAACTTTGTTCAACTAATGTAAACCAATTCGACTCCACACGGTCTCACCAAGCTAACAGACTTCAAAACTAACAGATAAGAATAGGAGATGTATTTAACAGATGTACAATAGCATATCTAGAGTTTATAACCACTACACATACATAAATAAAGCAAACATTTTGGTAAGATTCATCGTATTAATGTGCAGCAAAGTGTTGCAAGTATTTGCAGGAGATAACCATATTACCGAATATGTAACAAGCTTAAAAGATCGATCATGGCTTCTATGATAAACAAACACGCAATTGCTCGACCACCATCATAAGTAAAGCTTTACACATGACCCTCTGGTTTAAACTATGTCACAAGAGTCGCCACACACAATTTTCACCCTTCAATTTGAACTAATTAAGCTTGAAATAAAGTGAAATCTTACGGAAGGAAGTGCAGCCAAATTTAGAGCAGATTTGTTGCTATTATATCTAGAGATACTATGATCTAAACAAAACACATCAATACACAATACATAGAGTTATCAACACTATCACATTTAATTTAACTTCAATCATGATCCAACACAAAATCATATGTAATATACATATTTAGAGCTTAAGAGGATCTAGACAGAATTCTTCCAAAGCTAAATGAATCAGTCAATTAAAGAATTTAGACAAGATAGCCATCATTTCTTGCAAATCAAAGGACAATATAGATTTATGATATGCACCTTGAGATCAAATAGCACTTGGATCCGGAATCGTTTGGAACAGAGACCTCGACGCAACAATCTCGAACGGAAACCTCAACGATACTGTCAACGACATCCTCGCTCACCTCAGATAGGGACCCGACTGAAAATCAGAAGCAAACCAGAAATCGACATGAAAATCGAAGAGATTCGAACTCGAAATGAGAATGAAACAAGTCCGTTCGATCCCTCTGTTCTCACTGTTTTTCAACTCTCATGTTTTCCCGTTCCTGTTTCCCCTTTTCTATTTCGATTTCAATTCCCTTCTCCTGCTATTTTTGTTTCATTTTAGTTTAGAAGAGAGGTGAAAGCTCGTCGTGAGTGTGTGTTTGTTGCCGTGTGATTGATTTTCCGGCGAGGGATTGTATGGTTGAAAAGGCAGAACGCTGGGAGGGGTATTTGGGTGTCCTCCGGTCTCAGCTTTTACAGGCGTCTCTTCCCTATCTATTCTGTAGTGTATCCCTATATGTGTGTTTGTATCTGCTTGGATTTGTTAAGAAGAAATCACAGCTGCGCAGCCCTCTCTTCCAGGCATCTCCTTCTGTGTATAGGCGTATATGTGTGTTTTTTGTGAAGAAACAGCCCAAGCTGCCTTCAATCTCTAGGCCTCTCTACTGTCTTCTATATATACGTGTATATTTTTGTGTGTATTAGGTCGTTTAGGTTAGGAAGTGCATTTGGGTATTGGGTTGGGTCGGGTCGATCCGGTTTGGAGTTGGGTAGGGGCTAATTTGGGTTGGGTTTAAAAGAGAAATTGTATTGGGCTTGAATTTTAGTAAGATTTTGGCCCAAAAATATGATTCACCTTTTTTGTTTTCATATTTTCTAATTTCTTTTAAATTAAAACTAAAAATAACACCTAAATTAATTCCTAGTCAAATTATTTCAAATTAAGCTAATTACTACAACTAATACTTATTGCAATTAATTAAAACCAAATTAAACGGAAAACTACCGAAATTCAAAGACTAAAATTAAAAGTGCAAAATTAACCATTTTTTATGATTCTTTTCTTCTTTTTTTAAACACAATTAATTCCATATAATTAATTCCTAAATGCAAATTGAACCTAAGGTGGCATAAAATTTAAAATGTGATACTTTTTATGGATTTTTTATGATTTTAAAAATATTAAAAATGTATGAAATGCAACTAAATAAAGAAAAATTCCTAAAATTAATAAAAAATTATTTTGGTCTATTTTTAGGAGTTATTTTCATGTAGAGCAAAAATCACGTGCTCACAGGGTTTAAACCAGCCATTGATCTGGTCATTCTGGATTTTTGCCATTTTTTCAATGTTTATCTGGGTCAAATTGGTCCAATCGTTTGGAGGGCTGTTGCCTGCTTGAGACACCTTGCTAATATGGCAGATGTTGGCTTTACTTTCCCCAACTTAATTCACCTCTACTCCCCTAGGCTTTTTCGCAATAGAGTTTTCACCCTAGCAACTAGGAGCAAGAGGGTTTTCGTAAGCCTCGAGGACGACAAAGACCATGGCTGGTATGCTCGGTTTGTTACTGCCCCCAGTGCTGGCATAGTGGGTGAAGTGAACGTTCCTTTTCCTGAGAAGTGGAACTTTGCACGTAAGTATTACATCTTTCTCGTGCCTTTTTCCTTCAAGCTTATTGACTTTTCTAATGTCGCTTCTTTTCTTTTTTTAGCGACCATGGGCGTTGTGGAGACCGTACCTAACTTCCGTGGTTGGGTAGAAAATTTGCTAAAGACCTCCCCAATGTAGGGTAGGTCATGGAAAAACCTTTCCAGTCGTTACGGTTGGAAAGTGAAAATTCATGGTAAGGGTTTTTTTTTCTTGTACGTACATAAATATTTTCTTTTATTGTTCTAACTTTTATCCTTCTTTTTTATCAGGATTTGCTATTCGAGGGGTCACTGTTGGAGCAATCATGGCTTCTCATGACTCTTTGGATACTCGTATCTCTTTGTCCCAAGAAATAGTCTTGGGTTCTTCTTCCAAAAGAAAAGTTGCTGAAGAAGAAGACTTTGAGGAAGAAGGTGAAAGCTTCCTGGTAACAAAACCACGAGCTAGGAGATGTATCTTCTCCGATGACGAGGCTGAAGTCTCTCCTCATCTGTCTCTTACCGAGCCGGTTGTTGCTCCAGTTATCATTCCTGATGATGACATCTCTCCTCTCGATACTCGTGAGTCTATTACCAACTTTTTGATAGTGGTTTTGGTAGTAGAAATTTATGACCTATTCTCGATGAACTTCCCTTATCTTCTTTTTCATCTCCCGTACATGTGATTGCTTCTTTACCTGCATCAACCGTTTCTTCTATTCCTTAATCCATTGTTTTTACTCCTTCCACCACTCCTCCTTTGACAATATCCCCATCTATCGTTCACCATACGGAGGTGGGTTCTTCAAGTAGAAGTTACTAATATGAGGAGCGTAACCATTGAAGTTCCTGCCAACAACAGCCTCTTGAGAAGGTCCGGCCAAGCTGATATTTGGCTCAAGCCTTTGATTGGCCCAATTGAGAAAGCAAAGCTTGAAAGCCATAGCAACCTGACCCTTATGAATGACATAATGCATGCCACTTTGAAGGTATTTTCTTTTCTTCTCCACTTTGTAAAGATTTCTGACTTTGGGATTCTTACTTCCCTTTTTTTTATTAGGCCAATCTTATTGGCATTGAGCTGATGAACAGAATCTTCCTCTTAAGCAGTTGATAAGTGCTTCCACGGCTTCGTTGACCTAAGCATCAATTAATTTCTGCAAGGCATCATCAACGGTTTCAACATTCACAAGTTGAGCATGTTCATTCATTTGAGACCCATCAGGGGTTCCCTCTCGAGATTGTCGGGGAGAGCCTTGCGGAGTTTGAATCAGAGTGTTAATATCTTGTGGATCTCCCTGATTTTGTTGGTTTTCTTGGTTTCCTCGAATGTTAACATTGTTGTTCGACATGATTGATCAACAAGAAAAGTTAATCGAAAAGAAATAGATTATCAGATTCCTGATAACGGAACCAATTTATTTAACCAAAAAATGGGATTTTAGTCAAAGCTAGAATTTATAAGAACTCGGGTTACTGATAATCAAAAGAATGTATAAAAGGAATTAAATTATGTAGCAGAAGAATCTTTCAAGAATAAAGCGAGTAAATAAAGATATATTTCAATAATTTTTTTTGTGTCTCAACTGATTAGATGGTTCCCTTATATAGTTATCCTAGAGATATGCATTTTGCTCAAATCATAATGAGACTATTATGAGTAATTAAAGACATTGAATGCTACGTTACATAATCATTACATTTAATACAAACTTCCTAACATATTTCGTATTTAATGTCTATTATATGTTGTACCTGCACTCTTTTTACTGTTAGATTCATTCTTTTGGGCTCTTGGATATAAACGACTTCAATAAGTACGGGCGTTGAATTATTTGAATATCTACCCGTGCCTTCTCTTTTGTTATTAGCTCGTGCCTGTTGTAATTCGTCCCTGTTGTTGCTCGTGCCTCTTAACCAGTTGTCATCCTTTGATCATTTAATCAGTCTATGTGTCATGACACATTTCCTTAAATACAATTTTTTCCAATACAATATTAAGTTCAAACTCATATGATGCATAGAGTTTCCTTGCCTCAATTGCCCTGCTAACTAAAATTTTGATAGAATCTAACCGAGTAGATTAAGAAACCCCAACAAATAAAAGAAAAAGTAGAGCCAGGGCAGAACAGACTGGAGCCTACATGTTTAAAGAGAAGAGCATAACCTGAGCTGTTGGCGTTCAACCGTTAATTTCGTAAATCATCGGTTCTTTCCTGTTGATTTTGTTGCGATTTGATCGATTTGCCTTTTGGGCTCTTGAGCACACCAATATATGTGCTATTCACGTGAAGAAAATTTTGAAGGTTGCATGTTATCAAGCAGGAATTGGAACAGAACTAACATAAACGGTTCTATTGAAGTGTTCACAATAATTTCGCCGAGCTTGGGTACCAGTGTATTCTTACAAACTCTACTGATGTAATGTCTAGTACTAGTTTATACTCTTCTTTAGACTTATACCAGTGTAAGGACACCGCCAAAGTGTAAGGTGAACAGATGTTGTAGCTGCCCCATTATTGACTAGAAGCTCCTTTAATACAACTCATAACAACTAGTAGGGTAGTAAATTGTAGGATTTACCTAATTCTTAATTCAATATCAGCACATAGTAGAGGAACATAGTTGATAAGAAATAAAAATCATTCCACTGGTCAGTGGCGAGTCATTATTCTCTTTTAAGAGAGATTTTTACCAAAAGACTTGCAAGTCTCCTTTTAAGACTGTAACCTAAGACTTTTTAACCAAAAGGATTATGTAAACTTGATCTAGAGGAAACTAAAATTTTAACTAGAAAATTCTTCACAGACGGAGCTAAATTGTTTGACTCAAAAGTTGTTAAACACTTTTTAAGCAAATCAATCAATAAAGATGAAGAGGTAAATCCTAGTTAAAGATAATTAACTCTAGATCTGAGATGAGTAGGAGAAATATAAAAACATAGTCGAATCTAACTGTTGACGGTGATTATGACCACATTTAATAACATAAAGAAAGATGCATTAAATAATAAAAATATGAATAAAGGAAAAGGTTAACCCTGTGTTCAGTGAGACGGATCTTCTTTCTCTTCATAAATATGAATGATAGACAAATACAAGAACCTCATGATCCTATTTGGATTTGATAAAGGTATTGGATCACATATCCTCTGATGTTCCAAACGTTAATGCCACACAAGAGGGGGGGTGATTTGTGTGGTACCCAATTTTTGCACTAGAAGAACTTGGTTCTTCTAAATGAACTAACTATGACTATTTGCGGAATTAAGAGTGCATAAAATAAAGAACACAGAGATTTTTACGTAGAAAATACCTGGCTCAAAAGGTGAAAATCCACGACCTACTACTCAGTAGGATTTTCCCAAACATCTACTAAACTCAATGAGCCAAAACAGCATTTACAAAACTCTTTGTAAACCTAAAGATTAACTCTAATCCCAGTGTGGCACACAGCCTCAACTGTTGCGACACTTTCAAGTTAACTCTAACTTGAATACTCAATGTACCTAATACAATTTGCTTCTAAGAAAGCTGGAAAGGTACAATTTCAAATCACCTACTATAATTGAACTAGAATAAGAAAAACACAATGAAACTGGTTCTTCAATCTTGTTTAAGTAGCTGCAGACATGATTCTGTTAACCAACAATCAACTTCACAAAGAATTTAACTATTAAGATCAGAAGTTTCATAGAACAAGAGAAAACAAAGCACATTGTCATTGAGTAGGATGCGTTTCAACAATACAGACCACAACAAGAAAAATAAACATCCAATCATGAGCAAAAGTGGAGAAAAGTCCCTAATCTGGGTCACTGAGGGGGTACAAGAATTTAAACTGGCTTTAGGGTTTGGAGGTACGAGAGGGCTGGGTTTGGAAAAGGTTGAACATATTCTGAAGCATTACATCACTCTTCTCATTTTCCTTTGCTAGCTCAGCTCTAAGTCCATCCCGTTCAGTTTCTAATTTAGCAACACGAGCCTTCAGCCTGGCAATTTCAGCATCTTTTGTTCCA